GAGAGAATTAAAATTCAGAGAACGAAATCTTTCTAGGGACAGAAAAGAAGGGTATTTTGAAAAAAAGTCGAGCCGCGTTACGGCTTGTGAGCACTCGGCTTCGACGTGCGCCGTATTTCTGGTGTTTCACGGTTCCATGAAACCAGGAAAATCATGAATTACGTTTAAATTTAATATTACTCTTAACAACTTTCTAAGGCGCACAGAATGCAAGAAGTTCTCAAGTTGCATAATAATTTTACGACGAACCTCAGGAATTTTACTCCTTTCTACCAACTTTTAGGAAACTTCAAATTGCGGTATACGAACACTTTCTATGTTACCATAAAAGAAACTAAGAAAAAGAAATTACGATAACAATTTATTATCATTTATATTGCTAAAAATTATTAAACATGTTCGTCCCCAGGTCTTTGCAAAAGAATAGACTTCCACCTTGCCCCTTTAGGAACATCTTCCATTCATTCTCTTCGCTACTTCCTGTCGAAAGAACGCTTCAAGCATACGCGTAAGGGGTGGTCGAGAGTAGAAGGGGTTAACGTGACCCTGGACAAGCGTTGTCACAGTGGTATCCGATCGTGATCGGTTGTCATAGGAGACGAGTCGAGAATGACAACAAAAGAACGTCAGCTGGTCGAAGCGTTGTCCGAACACTGCAATTAGATACCGATGGTGGGGGAAATCTGGGAGTAGTGGTGGGGGTATACCGCCGTGAAGCGTGGCTCCTTTTCAGTCAGTCCGGAAACGCGGTCGGGGCAACCAGCGCTCTTGTTAGTTTCGTACATTTCGTACACGTGACGATGTTCTTTGTGTGCATAGCGTGTTCAATAACGCGTGAGGTGATTGTGCGAGCTGCTAGTGTGTAAAAAGAGTGTGACAAAGGTGCGCAGTGGTTATGAGGGAAGCTGTGTCGAGCGGAATGGTCAGCTTTAAAAGCAACAACGTAGACAGGTACGCTCGAATGTATTTCTCTGGATTCCCACCGTGTCTGGCGTTCGTAGCGCGTCATTCCCCGAGTAAATATTTATTACGCTGTCGTTGAACTCTGCGTGCTCGAATTAACGAAAATATTTCGAGGCTTTAGCGAATTTATTCAGGAAGCAGTTCTATAATTTCGTATGCGTTACTCGGAGTGAATTGACGCGTCTCGTTTATTAGACGCCGGGTTGATTCTCTTTGAAGTGAATTTAAGCGGGTAACTTTGACAGGTGTGCCAACCGCTAGGCGAATCGTTGACGCGTTAATTGTAAAATATCGCATGGAAAATATTTGTATTTCCCAAGGATAATAAATATATCTAGTTTAAGACAGCGACGCTTTGATAAAGCCAAGTCTTTTTATGATAACGTAACAGATAATATGTTTCTCTTCATAAAATAAAAACAGCTTTTGAACTCATTCAATGTTGCGTTTGTCATCGATATTTTTTCATTTATCAATTGATAAGTATTTCTAATCAAAGTGTCTTATTCAACGGATAAAAGACAAAGCGTAGTAAACGATTCTTGTATTTTTCTAATACAATTTAACGCTCACGGCAGAATCGTATCAGTGCCGGAACCATTTTCCTTTTCGTAGTCGAAGAACCTTCGCGTGACGCTTAACGTTATTATTTCTTCATATACAAAAGAACGATTCAATCTCCGCTCAGTTGTGTACCGAAGCTACAAAAACCAATGGAAACTTTAAATAGAAAAGAAGGTATATTTCCAGGATTTCCGTTAACTGTGTAAGAATATTAAACGTGTGCAGAACGGTATCAAGTTCTCTTTGGAATATTTGAAATTGTTAGTAGCTAGCGTTAGAAAAAAAATTAGAGTTCCTGGCATTGTCGAGTTTCCAAGATAAAATTGCCGATGGCGCTGTCGCTTCCGGTGCAATAGACCACATTCCGTCCATGCTTTTAGGTGTATTCTGATAGGATCTACGGGATTATGGCGGACGCGACGAGATTGTGATCCTCGATAGATTAACTAATTTCTTGCCGCAATCTCTATATTGAGAAAATGACTAATGATCTTCTGTTTAAAAAATCTACTTTACCCTGAAAAGTAATGTTACAAATGGTAACGTTATGTTGTTTCGCGAGACACGAATTCAATTTTCTAAAGTAGCCATTCGATTGGTCGTGGGGAATATTCTGCGCGGAGTTACGTGGATATTGGATACTGGTAACGAAAAGAGAAATGTTAAGACCACCGCAAAGTTTGTGGCATTGGACGAACGCCATTAAGGTCAAGTATAGAACGCTTCTTGTCTCTAAACTTGGCTGCAGCTTTGAACGAATTTTTAGCGACTGCCACATGCTCTCCCATGGGGGACCAGCCCAAAAAGTGAAATTCGCCGTCTGAAGGGCAATTACTTTCGAAATTAAAATAGACCCTTGTAAAGTCGAGTTAATTTTCCCGTAGAAAATTTGAATTTTAAGCGAAATTTTAACGATAAGTCTTCTATATTTTCTGAAGAATTTTTTGATTTTTATTTTTATTGATTTATTCGGTCGATTTCGAGTAATTCGGAAAATTCAAACCCTCGATTCGGGTCGAAAAATCGAAGCGAGTTCACAGCTCGACTTGTAAAGTACGAGTACATTCGAGATAATTGTAAGGAGTATTCAAGTTTTCTTGCCGCGGGAAGCGATAGTACTCGTAACCAGTTTGTATCAGTTAATTAACAAAGTGTATCCATTTTCTTGGACGTGGCCGTTGTTGACAAATTACTGTACTACGAACGCTTTAAGTACACGGAGGGAAATTATTACAAGGAAGAAGTAAACGTTCCAGCAAGAAAAGTAACCAGCCAGAGAAATTAACAAGAAGTTAAAAGCTTCAGATTGCCACGTCATCAATTTAACCCTCTTGTATCCTACTCCTTTTTGCGACATTCCTTCAAGAATATGATGGATTACCGTTTTACCGTATATGTATATGAATAATGCCAGTTAAAAGGGCAGAAAAAGTGTGACAAACGATTTCCTGGCAGAAATGAGAATTTTTAATTTGATCAGTTCTAACGCCATTAGTTGAACATTTTTTTTCTATTCTTGACCTTTATTTTTCCTTCTTCTTCTTTGCACGCATGTCATGTGCAATGTTCTTTAAAAAATTCAAAGAGAAATAGGAAACTCTACTTGGTTACGTTATCGATTCTGGTGGATACGATAGACGGGAGGGACTATTCCAGTTGAAACGGTTGTACGACTTCAGAAAAATCAGTGTATTTAGAAGAATATTTACTGTTTGAAAAATTCAGAAAAAAGCGAAGAATTATCCATCAAGTTTTGACAAACTATTTTCAAATTTAAAATATTCCTGTCCTGGGGAATGAATTAATCATTTCGTCAGAGCTCTCCGGAAATATTAGTATAGTTTTCGAAACTTTTGATAATTTATAGTATCGAAACTTCAAGTCAGCCTGCAAGCTGCACCGTAATGATATTTTCTTGGCAAAGTTGGGTTACAAAGTTTCATTTTTTCCTCCCAGTCACCTTCTTTCCTCGTTAGACGAGATCGTGCGACCGGAAGCTTGTCTTCTACACGATCTCGCCCTGCAAGTTTACCCTTATTTACTTAATTAATGTTCCGCTCCTTTCGATCAAACTTATTCACTGTTCAATCGAACGTGTGTCTCCTTTGAAAAATCACGTTTATATTAAAAACATTGATGAACCTCTACGTAGTCATCTTCATCAACCCTTAAACTTTAAATTGACATACCTTTTCTGCTATCTGCCCATTTCTTGGCAGCTTCGACAAACCTCTGGCTCCATTTTAAGAACCGTACATCGACCCTTTGTGTACCTTCCCCTTTTTTATCTACGCCCGACAAGATATCAGCTCGTTTAACGTGTTCGGTACTTGATAAGAATGCAACCGTTGTGAACGGAGGCTTTGCTCGACCCTTTCAACATTTCCGCTCTCACATCGTGTTTTACGAATACGCCAGATAAGATCTCGATTCGGTGGAATTGTACCGCTACAGAGATTACCTCCTATCTAATACACTTTCTTTTTTTAAAATTATTATTATTTAAATTAGAGCTGGTCCGAACGTTTGACGTGTTCAGGTGTTCGAAGAGAAATTCAAATTCAAATGTCAGCTTTGAATAATCGAAGGGTTCGCAGTTTTACGGGATGACGTACATAAGAATAGCTATTACTTGCTGAAAATTAAGGAGACGGTTTTTCATCGCTTTGCGTGTTATCTGTGAGGTAATTCGTGGGAATTTGTACATTCAGTAGGCTGCACAAGGGTGGCTCGTTCTACCGTGACCGGATGTGACGGGGCTTTCTTTTGTGCGTAATTGTTTAGCAGGTGTGAAGCCTAATAGGCTCGAGTGTTAGCAAACAGACTAACCATTATACAAAAGTCCTTTCTTTTACAATAGTTGAACTGGTTTTTAAAGTTTACCACTTTAATCAATATTATTTTGCTCTTTTATATGAGAAGCACAAGAGAGATTAAAGTGTCGCATAGACCTTATCGTGCGACATTAATCTTTGAAAATGGAAAATCGTGCTCGAACAAACTGATAGGGAGCTGTAAATTTAGTTGAATTTAAGTAGGGCATTATCAGTTCGGTGAGTGTTATTTCCGATAAGATTTGTGGACAAAATTTCTTCAGAAACCACCAAATATTGATAGATGACTTTATCAATATTTAAACTCCGTATCAGTAGACCGTCATTTTCTTCAACTTTAAAGTGAAATAATTATTCGTTTCTGGTATAGAAGGGTTCTTGCTGCTCATACCTTCCTAGGGTAATGTAGTTTCCTTTATTTTATACATTTTCTGCAGTGTTCTACCTTATCTACAGGTAGTAAAATCACTGAAAGTAACCACGGAATTCCCAAATTTCTACATTAACAGTAGCTGATAAACTATGAACTAGAGACTTTAGAAATTTATAGTTAATATTTGTTAAAAAGGAAAATGAATGAAAAGATTGTTAGATTCCCTAGAACTTGGAATAATCAGGTGTTAACTTTTTCTGTTGCAGTGATCCCTCAACGCCCCATCGCCATCTGGCCGGCAGTCTGCGAGGTTCAGTGAACTATTCTCACAACCATCGGCACAACCACCTCCACAGACATGATCCACCGCTGCCACCCGCATACTGTACACCACCTCCGCCATCGTCCTCGAGTTACCCCACAGTGCAGCGTGGCTGCGCCCTGCATTCAAGGTAAGTCAACTTACCCTTTCCTATACACAGCATGAAGTAGGAGTCGTTGGAGCGTGTACAATATTTTTATCATCGAATACTTTTGTAGACCAAAGGATTCTTTATCTCATTTTATTGCAAATTGATCGGTCGACCTCAGAATGGGGGTTAATTACCCGATTAATTATATAGGGAGGTGTTAATTAAGATAGAATGTATCAGTTACCAGTTTCATACTTCACCTTCCTCGGGTTCTTGAGATTAATCTGCTCTCCAATATTTATAATCTTAATCATTTAATCCTTAATTATGTCAAATTAACGACACTTAGTCGTATCTTCAGGTCTTTCATCAGAATTCTAATTTTATTACTGTCACGAATGAATTCTCAAGTACATATCAGGTTCCGCCGAAAATAGGAACTAGGCTTCTAGTTACTAGTAGCATCAGGACCTTTTCGTTCGTAACTAGCCACGTTATTCACTACGCCACCACTAATTCGATATTATTTCCATTCCCTTAGGTCTGTTTATTTTGTAGCGTTAAACTTTGTAGCGTTTGCAATAGCTGCGATCTGAAATTGCATATTCATTAATAGATAGATTCGAATTGCTACGTGGGTCGTGTTCAAACACTTTACGAATGTTACCCCTGATCCACCCTTCATGCTCGAAACGTCACCACCACGTTCGATTGATTCAGCTTCCCTTTTTTTATCTCTGTTTCCACACTGTGTTCATGTATATGGGGGTTGTATTGGGATAGGGTAGGTTTCGGGGGTGGGAAACGTTCTCGCCACTCGATACGAGGACGGACCGGTGCGTTGGGTCATTGTTACCTAAAAGTCCTAAAATGAACGAGCAACGGGTTGAATTCAGGTTAACCTGATACGAAGGGAAAAATAAGGAAACGTAAACACGAATGCCTACTTTTTATCTGTAGTAATTTTAGTACAATTATTTTTGTCTTTCGAGTCGTCAATAATCGACCGAGTAAAAGGGGGTTGAAAACGAGTTAGAGTGGGCAGAAACAACAAACGGCTTTCGGTTTCGAGCGGAATGGAAACAGCGTCGCGCTTAAAGGTCTTGAAAGAAGTCTAGTGGCTACGAAGAGGCTGTTTCCGTGCTCGTTGCTTGCTTCCAAAGAGCTGCTGCTGCTTTATAGTAACGATCTCTCGAGCTATTACGCTCGCGAAAACATTTGATGAATTCAGCGTATAGAGTAATTGTATTACGTCAGTATAAAAAATAAAATAATGGAATATTTGTACTCTTAATATGTTATTATTACAATATACCATGGGCGCATGGCCGGTTTCATTGCGCCGCACAGTAGTTCTTTCGAAATCAAGTAGTACAAGTCAGCCATAAGTCGGACGCTCCGACGTCGGTGCCGTAATTAGTTTTTTACGAGCTACAAAGTTTATCAATCACCCCTGACACGACAAAAAAAGAGAAAAAAAAAAATCAGAATCGTTTGAGAACCGAATGTATCACGCATTGCGAAGGGTAAAATGGATTTCAAAAACTGACGGTCGAATCCGCGACGAAAATCACGCCTCCCAGGTACACGTTCCCTGAAACATTTTAATTTCCAGTCGGTGATAAAAATCGCATGGGTACGGTTCAGCCGAGCAAATGGAACGGTGGACGTATTTTGCATTCCGTTTTCGATCTCGGCCCGTGTGTATCGCTTCGGTTCGCTTCGCGAGCCAGTGAATGTGCTCGCGTAAAAATCGTATCCATCGGGTCACGTTTCGCCGGCTTCACCGAGGGATTACCGAACACCCCGATACCTGTACAAATTACAACTTGCCAACCCCTTCCTGCTACATCCAGTATACAGTGATACACAATTTATTTCTCTGTACGTGTGAGCAGACGACGGATGAACGCGACTCGGTGTTAGTTGTAAAAGACGTTCCGACTCGAATATTTAGGAGCACCTTGCGAATCCTCTTCCTTTTTAGCCATCGATAAAGAAAGTAAAACGTTTCCGCTATCGACCACCCCGTTCCTTCATCCTTCGTTTCCTCCTCGTCGTTGGGAGTCATTTAAATAATCAACCGGACGGGAAAGACCCTTCTAGTTCTCCAATCTCTTTTATTTATTTTCCTTTTTCCCCGCTTCGTCTCCTTCTCGCTTGTATCTCTTCCATTTCCATCCTTGTCTATGGTTCAGCGATTCTTTTATTGCTTCCTGCCTCGTCTTTTTTCCTTTTTTACGTCTTTCTCGATAGCGGAGAATTTATGAGGAGGTAGGTTAAATTCATTGCCGAGTTCGTTAACAGTTTGCTCGATTACCGGCCTCTGGATCGTTTGATTCATCGTGACAGGGCGGGAGAGGGAGGTGGGGAAAAAAGGTGGAGGATCATTGGGCGACAGGGTAGGAGAAAAATAATTACACGATAAATGGGACAGTGTATAATTTGCGCTATCGAGTAACATAGGCTTCTCGGGAATTAGCGTGGCTATCGCGAGCAGAGCGGAGCTGGGTTGGTCAATTTTCCAGGTCGGCCAGAGTTGGCGAGGGATATTTTTTAGCGGTCAGACCCGGTAACGTCGCAAATCCTCGTTTTAAATCACGTTATCAAAGACTCGAAGACGGGTATACGACGGCTTGGGTCACGTCATAGGAATTAACGGTAAAGCATCGATGTAAGTCAGCCGACTGCCAGCACGCCACCAGGGATTCTAATAAGCTATTCGCCACTGGTCCCCGTGGCTCGTGAAACTAAACTAGCTACAAACTTACCCCGAACTATGATGGGTCACGCCATAACCCCCCGAATCGTAACGTGATATTTCTGCAAATTGACTCTGATTGTGTCTGCTTCAATTCGAGCCATTACAACCCTTTGATTGCACTTCGGTTCAGAAGAGCAATCAAATGATTTCACATTGTTTTTGCTGAATCGGAAAATATACAATTTACATTCACTGTTAATATTCATACTGATTTTATTTAGTTCGCGACGTTGAATCTCGCTCCGAAATAATTTGATTCAACGAGTTTGAAGCTCGCCACTGCTCACCGTCGTTAAAAGCCTTCGTTGCTTTTCTAATTAACTCCTCCCGTTTGGGGAATAAAAGGTGTTATCGTCTTCCAGGAAATCCGGCGCAGTGTTTTCTTTTTCCGACTTTTTTTCGAAGCATCGGGGATCAGGCTGAAAAGCAAATCCTTATCATGGTAGACTGTTAAGCGTACACACAGCTAAGTTTATAGAACGTAATTAGACTTTTTCATAGTTCACCGTCACGCATCTATTTACCAGCGAAACTCCAGGGAAATTGCACGTATTTTCTTCGATTGACTTGCTCGATTAACGCTTTTCGCTTTAGGAGAAAATATTTCTTCGAAAGCAATCTATTTTAATTATCCTTTTGGGTGTAATACAATTTTACGAGTTCGAATCGTGTTTCGGTTCTTTCTTCAAGTCCAAACAATTTCGAGTGTATTAAATTAGAAAATAAAATTGTTCAAAGGCGTTTTCCGTTGTGTAGAATGAAAAAGGGGGGTGAAATTTTTCCGCAAGATGTTGCTGACAGGATTGCACGTTGACTTATGCGAAAAATCGCATAAACGAGGCACGGTGTGTTGAACTCTGCACTGTGCCAGTAAGCTTTATACTTCCGGGATAAGTAGAGCTTTTTACGATGAAATAAAACAGAAGCTGGGCGCAACCAACCGATATTTCCTAGGAACATGATAAAGGGAGTAAGATAGGGAAAAAGAGAGGAGATACTTTCTGCTGGCAACGCGTTCCGTCAAACACTTTTTACGATGTTTGTTTTTATACAAGTTCCTTCTGTTTCTGACCGACATACTTGAACTACTTGTAGACACGACGCGAGCAGGAATCAGAGTCGGTACTTAAGTTAATTTACTTAAATTCTTCTTGAAACTAAATCCTACAGAGGAAATGATGAAATTACTTTTTCTTGCTGGACAAAGCCCACTGAGAATACTAAGAAAAAGGAAGGATACGTGAATGAAAAAAGTGACGAAGAAGCGTGGAGGGTTTAGGTGACAAGAAACGTCGATTCGGTGTCTTCGGTAAGGGAAGAACGATAAACTTGGGTCACGTACGGGAGAATCGTGTTTCAGAGGGTAGGTCAGGCCAACGTCGTGAATAGAACGATCAATTTTCATGAAATTGAAGAATAGTAGCTGCAACTGGATTAAGCTTTTAAAAGACTGAAAGCTCCAGTTACTGTTTGTCAAGCGTTATTTTCGTACCCAAAGAAGCACTGTCATTACGTGTACAGGGACAAAGATTAATATAATTCAAAGCGAATTTTTTTTATGCTTGCAAAATTTATATTAAATCGTTATTGTCGCTCGTATCGGCTTTCATCGCGTTTCTTTTTTCTTAAATAATTGCCTAGAGAATGTTTGAAATAGTCTGGCAGAGGGATGAGCTGTGGAAGCTCGTTAGAATTTTTCCGTCGACCCGTTGAATTGCTGGCTAGTCTTTTTGTCTCGGTTTTCCAATTCCAGCCACGCGGTTCGAAACAAGAGCTCGTAATCATAATTACAGTCATTCCGGGATACAAGTACGCCTAATGAATAAACTCGTTGCAAATGCGTCGACGAGTCGCTTTGATCGTTTCAAACTTCGTTGGCTGGCTAAATGGTTTCATTTTCCCTATTTTCCTTTTCTTTTTTACCTTCTCCGCTTTAAAATAACGACCGATGAATCAAATTGGGTGCGATTGTTTAGTAAACCAGTGGAAGAATGTTTCTTCTATCGATTTCGTTCGACGGATTTCTTTTCTTTTATCGTAAATCAAATTAAACTCGCCACGATTCACCGGTAATTGCGTTAACAACGTTGAAACGTTTTTTTCTGTTCTTCAAATTTGACGGATTAATTCTGTAGCAATTATCGAATAATTACGGTGAAATATATGGAGCTTCGTTGGGGGTATTGATCGGTGTAGAGCGGCAATAAAAATCGTGATTACAATCCATTTTTAAATCCAACGCGCGTGAACACTCTTAATAATTAGATCTTCTAAA